ACAGCATGCTAACTGGAATGACCTGGGTCATCATGATTCATTTCACAATATACAGAAATCGTTTCTCTCCAGTATACGTCTGCCACCAACAAAGCTGGTGTGAGAACATGGGTAACATCATGGTACGTCTTAAAGGCTTGCAAGCTTCTTCAGATCGAACCATCTACTTTGGTCAAAGAAAATGCAGTTCAATCCAAATGACCTCTTTCTTTCTAAACTTGAAGGGGGGCTCTTTGTCATGCTTGGAAAAACCGATCGCATCACCGATGGCCTTCCGACTAGTCATTCATGACTTGTGGCCTTCCGTGATGGCTTTTTGGGGCCTCGGGATGAAGCGAAACGAAACGGGAAACGACTTCTCACCATGACGAGAACTCGTCGCTCGTGGAGGCCCTGACTATCCATCCGTGGCCCACACCCCGTCCTGACTCACAAAGCAAGGGAAATAGGCATTTTGCACCCCCAGATCTTTGATCCCAGCATCTAGCCTGATCCGGATGAAAACCGGGGCACAAACGTCCCAGGCTGGATGCTTCACAGAAGTCTTGTAATTCATGTTTTGTTAGACATGTAACTTCAGCATGTCTAAGACATGCTCCGGAAAACGGCTATAGGGTGCTATAATGTGCTATAGGTGTTTTCTGTCTTGTTTTCTTCCTCAGGGCTCGGGGCATGCGAGAGATTTCTTCCCAAATGAAGAAGGACCAGGGCCGCAAGACGTAGCACCTGCTCGCACCGGACACACCGGAGAGTCGGTGGTCTAAAGGTTCCTGGTTTGGGGGGTTTTAAGATGGTCCAGGACCTTGGTCCACCTGCGGGTCTGCATTCTTCAAATCTAGAGTCTAGTATGTTGAGAGCAAATGGCACATAATGGCGCCAAGCCTACAAGAATAGATCAAGATATCAAGACTAAGATCCATGAGATAGAAGCCACCTCTCAGGGCTCCGACACCACTGTCCCTTTCAAAAACAAGCTCTGAGTTCACGGCACCCACTGATGTCGTGGTACTCGATCATCTCACCACGCGTGATCACCTACCCAACCCACCACCACCACCGTCGCAGGTTCCACACCGAATCCGCTCCGAGGCCTATCAGGACCCGCAGACCCTCCGCTCGAGCACTGCGAACAGTTCCGTGCGGCGGACCATTCCCGGGCGGATCCCGGCGTTCGCGCGGCGCTCTTCGTCCACTCGGCGCTCTTCGGGACGCGGGAAGTCTTCATCGCGGCCTGCGTGTACCACGTGGCGAAGTCCGTGGCTTTGGACGCGGAGACGCCTTTCGTGTCCTGCGCGGAACGACCGCCTCGTCCGGCGGTGGGAGACGGGAGACCTCCCGACCTTCGGATTGGCTCGAGGACCTGAAGTAGGACCACCTGGCCGGCTTGGCTTTCTTGGAGTGTTGGGAAGTCTGCATGTGGTGAATTGATATAGTTCGAGCTAAAAATGCAGAGTAACAGAAACCAAAATAAGCAAGCAATAAAAGGAACGGAAAAGGTGCACCGGCAACGCACTCTTGGAACAAAAGACGCTGGCCTTTGGAGCCTTTTGCCTGCGGAGAAAGCAACGATTTCTGAAATGAAACTCATGCCTCGCGATCAGACACACGTGCCTCGCTGCTGCATCTTCTTGCGATTCTCGATCCTCGAAAACTGACAGACTAACAGATCTAAAAGCTGACTCTGCCAGCACTCTCAGGCTGCTGCCTGCTGGGCATTTGGCAAATCGGATCCTCATGGTTCACATCAGTCAAGATCAACTCCTCTTTCCTAGTGATCAAATATACCAGCTGATTCAGACCAATGACTAGTCAAAGAAGTCTCACTCACCACTCAAGCACAGCTGTGTTCAGACCAAGTCCTGCAGTATCTGCTGACCTCAAAGCAGCGGTCTGTCTTGGGAAAAATCCGTACGGTGCCCAGTAGATCCATCACTGGATCGCTCCCGTCCGTTGCTTGACTGAAAAAGAACACAGCAGATCTGATTGTTTCTGATCCTGGATGTACTCATAGAGTACTTTTTCCAGGATCCTCTGTCATCCATTTCTGGCCATGGGTGTAAATCACATACACTGGAGTGAGCTCGCTGAACTCTTTTTCATGCAAGCGCATCAATCAACCTTCTCATCTTTCTCAGCTGTTGCTTCGCCAGTGCCGGTCGTCCCACTGGCACAAGAACGCGCAGTCAAACGGTGGACAGGAATGATGCACTTGAAAACTCAACAGAACCCGATTGTCTCAATATGAGTTGATGTTCTACGGTTTTTGCATATACATTCCTCAAAATCAATGGAAGGAACGACCTTGTCATGTCTACAAAATCAATGGTCCTATACATCCCTATACCTGACAAACAACCGCAGTTTTGCCAGCGTTCTTTGCTGTTCACCCCACCTCCAGCTCACGCACCCCCCAAATGGCTGCTGCGAAGAGCATGCCAAGACCAAATCCAATGGCCTCATTGGAAGGAGTCTCTGAAAAAAAAAAGAATTGAGAGCGAAACCTGGGGAAACAGCGAACCCGGTTCCAAAGCACCGATCCAAACACCTCCTCCGTTTCGGTGCTTTGGTGTACTGCGCTGCGCGCAGCGCGTCCAATTCGGATGTACTTGACAATCAAATTGCTTTTTGGGGCCCCCACCAGGTTTTTGGTCTCTCTCAACCAAACATGTGGGGCTCGGACCAAATGGAGGTAGCTCGCACCCTGCCGCTCCGCCACATCTCCTGCAAGCAAAACATGCTTTTTGAGCGTGCAAAATGCTGGGTCCTGAGTGTTTCAAAAATGAGTCCCTAATTGGTTGCTGTGTGTTTTCCTGCCGGGGTCCCTCGTTTTGAGCCATACGGAAACTTGTTTGGAAGTTAAACGGCGTCTGATACCAAGTGAGTTCAGCTGGGCAGGGTTGGTAACAGTGAAGTTAAGTTTCTCCTGAGTGGATCTCCGTGGCCATTGTCGGTAAAGTGAAGTAGTATCGTGTCAGTCAAAGCCAAAACTCGACATCCCTGCCAGCAGTACATACACTCTGTTGATCTTCCGGTCACACAATCACACGGATGGCATCAATCGAATCCTCAAAAATCCTCTGCACCTGCACTTGAATCTGTACAATTTGTTGTGAATCTGCTGAATTCCTTTTCTGAATGCCCATGACTTAAAACTTACCATAACGATAAGTGATAAGATGTGATAAGTGTTTCAAAAAAAACAACTAGTAGTAGATATGTAATGATAATAATGACCCCCATCGCCCACCACTTGATCTGCACTCCTCGCTCCCGCGCACCGGGCGGGGCGTGGGGTTGCGCACCCGGCGAAGCATGGGGCGGGGCCCCACCGGGCAGCGCGGGCAGCGGCGCGCCGCTGCCGGAGGCGAAGCCGCCCAGTGCGAAGGCCTGGCGAAGACCAGGTCCAGAGCTAAGATGGATACTTCTAGGTTGGATGGTCATCGCGCTTACGGCTATCGCATAGTAGGTTAGATGGAGTACGCGACTCGCTGGTGGTGCAGTCTCGGTGTCGGGACTCGTTCTGACCGCTTCGCGTTTCAAGGCGCCACTCCGGGCCTTGAAATCATCCACCTCGCGATCACCATGAAAATCGTAGACTCGATCACCTGCACCAGGGAAAGTCGCTGAAAATCGCTCGACTTGACGAAAGCAAAGCCAATTGGTGAACGCATTTCGTGGCAAGCATGACGAAACAACCCACCTGTGAATCCTCTTGAACCCGCTGTTTCACCCATCCTCCGAACCCTCTAGAGTGTCAATCATCTGCCAATGTCATCTCATGCTCTTTAACTTTCTTTGCCTTTTGCATCTCTTCCCACAACATCTCACCATCGTCACAAGTTTCATCCCATGCCTCACCGCAGCAACCTGCTACCACCCCACATCTCACCAGCCACCCACCATCACCTCCCATCCATTCCCATCCCACCGGCCTGAGCCCCCCACCTGCCCCAACCCAACCAAGCCACCCACCACCTGCACCACCACCTGCCCCAACCCAACCGGCGCGTCGTCGAGGAGATGGAGGCCTTTCACCAGTTTGATGCTCGGGAAACGTTCCACGCCCCACAGCTCTGTGAGCGGTCTCCACTGCAGCGCATCGAGGCTCGCCACCTGAACCTGGCAGCACCCAAAGGGGTGGAGGGCAACCCGAAAAATGGTGCGAAATAGAGAGTTGTTGACTCAAGGCAACACAACAAAATGATGTGAAGCGATTTCAGGAGTTAGTATGGTCAAAAAATCCCTAGGTCTGCCTGTAAAATGACCTATATATATATATGCATACATACCCAGACGACCATTCTGGGGTTGCTTCTCCTGATTCTTCTGCAAAACGCCAAAAGTTTGTGATGTCGGGATTGACTCACCCTTTTTTCTTCAGATTTTGTGGGTTGGGAACTCCATGGTGCTTTGCCATGACTCCAAGAAAAGCCTTGATGTGTCTGGATTGCAAGGGAAAATGGACATGTGCGGCCTGGCGACTCGGTTTGGGGAGACCTCTGAACCGTTCAGAGTGAGTATTTCATTCATGTTGGTCTCTGGTGGAAGACCTCTACTCGGTGACCGAAACAGTGGCAGAGGCCCACCATCCCCGACATTCAGATCCCACCACCAGCGCCAGCGAAGAAATCCGCCAATGCAACTGTGGCGCTTGGTCTTTGAGCTCTGTGGCTAAAGCTCCCCATTCTTGCTCCATGCTCCTGAGCTACTAGTAACAAGGGCATCGCTACTAGTAGCAAGTGCATCACAAGAAGCTACTAGTCGCTGGAAAACTTCAAGAACTGAAGTGCTATTTGACCAACTCCCCAAGTTTCATTTTGGTTGGTTTTCAGGTATTGTCCTTAAGAGCAAACAATGCATGTCAAAGCCAACAGCCCGGCCCTCAGCGCTCCCACCATAGTACCTAGCCCTTGCACGACAAGGAATGAGAGTCCCAGCCTGCAATGTCCGCAGCCGCGCAGAAAGAATACAATGAACCTCAGCTGTGCTCTGTCTACTTCTGTTGAGGGCATTGTCAATCAATCACAATCAAGAGCTCACACAATGGTCACACACCAAAAGCGCTCAACATCTGCTTTCAGTTCCATCAATGTCTTGCTATTCCTGGGCCAGCCGGCACCGGTAGTGGAGAAGATCTCACCAGTTCCTCCATATCGCCTGCAGCGGAGAAGAGTGAGCATTCTGTTCTAGATGGACATAGCTCTGAGTCTAAGAATGACTGGAAAGGCTTCTTGCCAATTTCAAGAAAAGATCGGGGCTCCAGTCGAGGCCTCTTCGGCTTCTAACCTCTATGTACATCCACAAGAACAAGGGACTCGCATGCATCATGCCCCAAAATTCATGTCTCCCAAAACTGATGGCGTTTTCGCGTCCCCAAGTCCATCCCCACTCAATCCTAAGCAACAAATTAATAGTGTTTGACAATCTCATACCATCTCTCATGATTGCTTTCACCCCCGTTTCGCCTTGCCTCCAAGGCTCAAAACATCCGCTCCACCAAAAGGCTGAGATCCTCAGCAAAGTTGGCACCAGCCATAGGGCCATACCCAACACAACTCCTGTGGGCCAAAAGCCTGGGCCTCTAGACCAAATTCATCCCATTGCCGTCGGTCTCGGATCCCCACCTTCTGAGCTCCCTTTCGCCTCAACAGCGCGGGCACAGCGCGGATCAGCTCCCTTTCGCCTCGTCCCCCAGCGAAGGCTCGAGATCTCTCGCGATCCGACCCCCCCCTTTTTGCCGAACCCACGGGTCCGACGGGTCGCTTCCTGCGTCGCTTCTGGAGTCCGAGTCCCGCCGTCGTCGCGAGTGTCGCACCGTGTCGGGCCTTGGGATCCATAAAGCCACCCAGTGCGAAATCCGCCAGGGCCTCCACGTTCCTGGAGCTTGAACGACGAACGCGCGGACAGCGGGGCGGGGCAGAGGAGTGGAGTTCCGGAAGCGTGGCACGCCTTGCACCACGGTAGCCATAGCGCTTGCCAGATGCCACAAGGACCAATGTGGGAAAGCCTCATCCAACAATTCACGAGTCAAGGAAGAAGTTTGTAACGTCACAAGGTCACAAGACACATGTATCAGGATAGGGGAGCAACAGAGTGTCAACGCCCAAAATAGAAGTAACAAAGGAAACCAAAGGCTTTGCTTGACTTGTCATTGTTATGGGGGGCCTGTCATTCTGCCGGATTTTGGAAATTCCAGACGGCCTGTCACATCGAATTCGTTCGCAAGACCTTCCTGAGTTCGCACACAGAGGCACAAGTGATCATGAGCGATCTGCAATGTGGCAACATGCAAACCTGCAAACACGTGGCACACGCCAAGCTAGCAAGAAAAAGTCAAGGCCCCCCAACCTCTGATGTTGCGTCAACCTTTGCAACGGCTATCTGACCTGCACATTCAGCGAGCGAAAGATGGGCAGACTGTCTGACTGTGTCTTGAAAGAAATGAAGTCCCAGAGAGGATCCGTTTTAGCACCGAGACAGTCTGCGTAGTATTAGTTAGATTGGTGGAAGCAAGAGGTCGCCCAAGTGAAGCGGATGTTCCGCCCGCTTCGCGTTGCCAGTCAGTCGTTGCCAGTTGGACATCATCCGCCGTCTCTTCGCCTCGAAGCTTCTGGGCCAGCTGCTCCCACACCGGTACCAGCCGCTTGCAATGTCCACACCAGGGAGCATAGAAGGCCACCTCAAGGGACTGCGACTGACCGAGCGGAGGAATTCCAACCACAGCTCCCTTGAAGAACGATAGAAGAGAGTTGGACAAACTCTCACGGAAGGGCCGGGTCGTTGGGGATTCGCAGCTGGGTATGCACGGTCATGATCAGTTCGTGTGCCGCACCGGAATCCTAGCCACCGATCCACCGTCCACCGTGCCATCCGATGGCACCGCGCCACTCAGGAACCCTGACGAACCATGGATGTTCCAGCCCATCGCCTCAGCGATGCGGAGGGTCGATGCGGAGGTCGGGCTTGGCACGGAGGCGGCTGACTTGGTGAGAGTAGCTGTGACTTGATGTGGCCAAGGAGCGGAGACTGCTGGAGAAGTTGCCTTAGAGTCTCGGATACCAGTGCTGCAATTAGAGCGAGAGTTAGAGAGTTAGAGGAAAAAAAAAGGAAGGAAGGAAGGAAGGAAGAAAGAAAGAAAGGAACTAAGAAAGAAAGAAAGAAATGAACTAAGAAAGAAAGAAAGAAAGAAAGCTGTTCGGTTGGAATGCGAATCTCATCGAATCTCTTCAAATGTCTTCAACCAAAATGTTTCGACATTGCACCATGCAGGCGCAATGTCAGACGCCAGAACTTGGATCACGTGACTCACGACACCGAACACCGAGAAACGCTTGGGACATATGTCAAGTCTCGTAACAAGTGCATTACTAGTAGGTAACAAGGACGCTACTAGTAGCTTCTTGGGCACTTCGCCACCTCACTTCACCTTCAGTCCACCTTTTGGCATGCCTGGCCTCTTACTTCGTGGAGACCTGGTGGATACGCCACACAGCCAGCCAGCTAGTGCCCGGTGCCAGGGGATCGATCGGCATCCGAGGCTCCTTCGGTGAGTTCGTGGACGACTCCAGCCGCAAAATCCTCCGTCTCATCCGTCCGGAGCGGAACGGTGTGGAACCTCAGCCGAACTGCAGCAGCACTGCAGTGGAACTTCTGCAGAGAGAACAATGTGACGATCGGCAACAAGGAAGCTAAAGGCAATTATATGCTTTAACTGTTCGAAGCACGGCCCCCAAATGAACAATGTAACAATGACTCACACGAAGAACAAACCACTTCGTCGAAACTCTTCAAAACCGAAGGTCGATCACTACAGTGAACTTGATCTCCTGGGTGGGCCGGCTTGCTCTAACCGCTCTTTGACCGAAACCGGCCCTCGCTGCAGTCCAGCCAGCAGAAACAACAGCGCAACCCAGCCAGCGACGGAGCCCATTCTTTGGCAGCACATCTGGCTGCAAAGGAGCGTCGCCCGGGTGGAATGTTCGCAGAACGTTTGGATTGGTTGGATCTGCTGGGTCCAACAATTCCATATGTTGTTTGATAGATGTGTTAGTTGAAAGTGGATTTGAATACAGGGACCTAAAATAACAGGAGAACTGAAACATTTCATCGACACTGAACCCTTCAGTCTCTTGCTCTTTTCGATCTTCTCGTGGGAGTTTTTGTCATGTCTCATGCTTTTGAAGCTCTTTGCAAGAAGCCAGAACAGCCATTTTCTGCCGACCGTGCGTGCTCAAACCGTGCTGCACCTGCACACAACTGTTCATCACTCACGGGACACGGTAAAGAGCGCCGGGCAGATCGCCCAGAGAGAGTGAAGAGGTTCATCTTGGCTGAAACCTCCAGCTGTGACACATCCTGCATCGCAAAGTGCTGTCCAAAACGATCATTCGAAGAAGAAGAAGAAGAAGAAGCAAAAGCAGAAGCAGAAGCAGGAAGAAGGAGAAGGAGAAGAAAACAGAAAACAATCTATATAAACAAATGTGTGATTATCATTGTGGGTCCTTGACCCTAACGCAGAACCCGAAATCCTCCCCACGTCCTTGCCGTGGACGGTCCAGCCATGGGTCTCAGAGTTGTGTGACAGGTTTTTTCTCAAAAGAGGGAATGGCCAAGGAATATCACATGATGACTCATGATCTCTGCTGATCTCTGCTGATCATGAGTGTTTTTTCATGTTTTTGTCTCTGGTGATGGAACTTCTAAGCTCATCTCTGCTTATCTCTGCTCTCTACAATTGATCATTACAAAAAGCAAGCTGCTGCTGTTGGGTGCGTAGTGCTGTCAGTGGTCTGCCCATCTCTCCTAGCAGCTCCTAGCAAAGCATATCAGCCCAAAGCAAACACGTTTAATATGTCCAATACCTGTTCACCTAACAGAGCTTGTCTTTTCCATTTATTGCGTCACCTTGGGGAAAGACCACCCGCATGCTGACCTGTGAGTCGTCTCTTTCATGTCTCAAAAGAGCATCCACAACAGCAGGTGAGAACATCTGCACGGGATGCTGGAAGGCCCTTCATCTTCACTTGGTTTGCAAGTTCGTGTCTTGTGAGGCTGACTCTTTTCCTCTGCTCGTGGGGCGCTGAGGGCAAGCTAGTGCTAGGTGCTAGCTGCTAGCTATAAAGCTGTGTCAATTTTCTTCATCAGAGAACTCGATTCCATCATCCATCTTCTGCCTGGCACAACCGGGTCGTCCCCTCAGCGGTATATGTCCCCTCAACCAGCGGCCACGAGCTCTCACACGAGTCACGAGTAGGCGGCAGGCGCATCGTCTCACACGAGATGACAGGCGACATTCACGTGGAGAAACGACGTGGCGAGGTACCACATCCCCTCATTGGCACTCTGTAGTCTTCTGGACAAGGCCTCCTGCAGAGTTTCACGCACCGCACCGCACCGCGCACGAACGAACCGCACCATCCATGTTTCATGGCTCATCAGGGGAAGTTCTGCAGAGAACGTGTCATCCGGAATGTCATCGGGTCATCGAGTTATCGACCCCTTCCCCAAGTCATCCAGCCGGGCCCGGGCCCAAGAGAGATCACCTCACCTCCCCAGGGGTTCAGCCTGTTGTTCTGGAAGCCCCCCAAAACACTGTCAGTCATCCACTCCTCTCTTTGTGTATAACCCAAAAATGCGAAACACGGGTCGCGCCAGAAGCTTGCCCCCCCCCCAAAACCAGAACAAAACAATAAAAGAACACAACGGTCCAACACACACGGTCTTCTGAAGCACCGAAACCGCCGTCCTGAAAGGCGGAGATGCGACACTTGTGCACGTCCAGCCTCGGCGAGACCGAGAGACGGAAGAGGATGGAGCCTCGTTCGGAAGCCGAAAAAAGCCTGAGACGAACGCCACGTGCTTTTTTGGTTTTGATGGGCTTCGGTCGGGCTTTTGGCGGAAAAAACAACCTGTCCAAAACCCATCAAAAAGCGCATGGGATAGGTGTGCAAATCTGTTTGTTATCTTGTGTCTGGCTTCAGCTTGGTGTTCTGAGCTCGGCGCTTCGAGGACGGCGCTAAGAGCCCGGACGACTGAATGGTGGCCACATATCTCTGCGCGCTCGCCTCCTGCAGAGCGGTGGGCGACGGCAGAGCGGTTGTGGCGATCCGCGTCGCTTGTGGCGCCCATCGAAGGATGGGACGGGAAGGATATGGACCGTGAACGGCAAAGATCTGACCCCAATCCAAGGAGTCCACTACCCTGGGAGTCCAGTTGACCATGAAAGCAATGCCCACAATATGCCTACGCAAGGTGCCTACGTAGCATCTTGCAGCTCAACTGCCCTTATTTTGCGGTCAAAATCCATCACTAAACCTACCACTCCCCACCTACTCCACTAAATGTCTTCGAGTTTCCTACCACTCCCAGCCCGCTCCTCCCCCCCTTCCCTTCCTCTCTCCTCGACCACCTGTCGCAGCCGGTCCTCTGGAGCGGACTCAAAGCGGATCAGCATGTTGGCCTCGTGACCGGACGCTCGCTCCGCGTGATGCGCACCTCGCGCGAGTCCACAGCCGGAAGGCCGGGAGACGGCCGGGAGACTCACCTCGTCTGGAGACGGCCACACCGGGCCGGCGGGGTCAATGGCTCCGGAATGGAAGGGTTCGGTCCACAGATCCAGAGTGTCACGTTGTGTGTGATGGTTTGATTGGGAGGGAAAGAAACGAGATCCAAGGACCTCTGGACCAAATGGAGAATATATAGATCATATTTCGGGGGAGATGGTCTTGTACCAGATGTACCAGAGCCTCTTGCTCTGTCGTTGAGGGGGTTCTAAGTTGCAAGGCTCCAGCTTTGACCCTCTACCGGACCAAGGTCCATCTTCTCACAGACACCTCACTAGTTCCATTTGGTCTTCCAATCTACGCCAAGATCCGAAAAGAGACCCGAAAAAAACACATCATCCAAACATCTCAAAACGGAATCTCCTGAGACAAAGCTCCCGAGGACGGTGCTTAAATCCAAGCTCCAAGTCAAGTCACCGACTGGGCCGACTTGCCCGACCCCGGAAGAGTAGCATTTCGATCCGCCCTCCCATCCCGGAGATCCTGTGCTTCTACGGTGCAATGCTTTCCGGTCCGGGCTCCGAGGGTCTCGGTCGAGCCCGCCTCAGGATTGTTCGCAGCCCTCATGATCTCATCCTCGAAGGTGTCGAAGAAGGACAAGAAGAATTGAAACCTGAGGAGAAAACGTCGACATGTCATCTCAACATCCATTGAAACATGTTACATGGTGAGCGCTGTCGGACTTGAAAGGTTGAAGATTGAATTGTGTGAGGCATGGTGACCGCGTTCTGAGTGTTCCTCTGTATCAGCCAAGGGGCAAGTAGCTATTCCCATGCTGAAAGAACCTGTCCTGGCACCCAGGCTGTAGGGCACTGGATGATGCCGGATCGAGCAGCAAAAAGTTGGGCACAAACATGGCAGAGGTACTAAGAAGTCAAACAGGATGCTGTATGGAAGGTGGTGTATGCAGATCCTGGGTCGCGCTTGGTAAAAGGTCATCATTTACAGAAATTCTTGAGAAGAAACAACACGTGTTGCGTCCTTTCGCATCAAAAAGCACAACCTGGGAGTTGGGCCCAGCAAACCACTTCTGCACAAAGGTCTCAGGGAGAAGTCCAAGCTCCTCTTTGAACCAAAAGGACCCGTCTCAGCCCCGTGCACGACTCTCAGCCAGCCCCGGGGGCAAGTGCAAGTGCTGGACGAGCCGTGTCGAGCCGAGCCGTGTCGACTCCTTGAGCCGCGCCCGCAGATGTGGCTTCAGCAAGCCCTCGCACACATAGCCATCCACCGCACAGGCCGTGGCCTGACCGCGGATGCTAGGGCGAGCCGCACAGCTTTTCGATCGGATCCAAGGGTGATTCGATGAATCAGAGCCGCACATGTTCGTCATGCTATTTCGTGGAGCCATGACAATCAAGGCATAAGTGGAAGAAGTGGGGTTCCATATGAAGGGGCAATGGTGAAGTTCACAGCCATCTGCCTCACCCCGCCAATAGCCAGGGAGGTACTTCGGGCTGTCGTTCAACACGGTCAAGACCTGAGAATAACATGCACATTGCTTGTCCCATGGCTTCCAAGACAATTGCCTTTTTTCTGGGCCATTACAAGGGCATCGCTACCAGTAACAAGTGCATCGCTACTAGTAGCTTCTTGTTACTGGTAGTAATGCCCTTGTTACTAGTAGCGATGCACTTGCTACTAAATCTGGTTTGGTCTTTCGGTGCTTTCCAAGAACATGGGCACTCCATCCAAAGAATCCAAACTCGCTTGCAAAGTCGCGACGGCGACTCCGCACTCCATCCTGCCTTGAAGCAAGTCGCTGGGTCAAAGAAGAGCAGAAGAAGACCTGCCACATACCTGGCTGACTGAACGCTTGTTCAGGTCTGACCTATTCCACCCAAATGTGCCACGTTTCCTTGAAGCACCTCACAGGGGTTCTGAGTGAAAGGAGGTGAAACTCCACACTCAGCACAAGACACTCACAAGACACTCACAAAACAACGCGAGAGGAGACCCTGACGGTCAAGCCCACATCCAAATTCGGAGGACACCCGAGAGAAGATGGTCCCTGACGGTCCTTTATGAAGCCGGGGCACCCCAGTGACTGCTGGTAGTCGCCGAACTTCTGCTGCTGAGCGATGCGATAAAGAGGCCAAAGGGAAGAAATGAGTTGAACTGAGTGCTGTGAACTCCTGTCGTCTCAAAAACTATTATACTGATTGAATCTGTGTGGTCCTGCTGTGTCCTATGGCCTACAACATAACTGCATCATTCCTGATTTGAGGTGCAGGGTGGCAACCTACAGTTTCCGGGAACATCAACGATTGAAGAGACAGATTAAAACCTCAATGCATCCAAACACCAACTGCGTGTGCACGCGCTACGGTTTATCAAAGCAGCATCACCAGCATATTCTAACCTCCCACTGTGTGTACCGTACTCCTTCCCAGGCATCATCTGGGAGCACTTCAAGCATGTTCATCCTTTTGATTGATGATCGATGTCTCACTGTTTCACTCGCTTAATTTGGTTTCCCTGCCACTTCAATGATTGCTTTTCCTTGACAACGATACCTTCAGCTGTTTGTATTTGCAAGCAAATATGCTGGTGATGCTGCTTTGGTAAACTATCGAAGCAGCATCACCAGCATAATTGTTTGCTAAAACAAACAGCTTAAACCGTAGGTTGACAACCTACAGCCTATCAAGAACATCAACGATTGAAGGGACAGGTTGAAACCCCAATGCCTCCTAACGTGTGTACACCTTCCAAGGGCCTCATTCTGCAAGCACGTCAAGCATGTTCATCCTTTTGATTGATGGATGTCTCATTGTTTCACTCACCTTCAGTTGCACAGTGGTGCTGGCGGTTTCCTGAAGCTACAGTTTATCAAAGCAACAAAACAGCTCAAACCGTAGGTTGGCACCTACTGCCTGTCAGAAAAAAAAACAAAACACTTGATGTTGTGTGCAAGGAATATCAATCATTGAAGTGGCAGGGTTGAAACCCCAATACCTCCTACCACTACCATCAACTTCGGCACACCTTCCGGGGGTGTCATGTGGCAGCACTTCAAGCATGTTCATCCGTTTGATTGATGATCGATGTCTCATTGCTTCACTCACCTTAAATTGCACTGTGGTGCTGGTGATGGTTTCCTGAAGCTACTGCTTATCGAAGCAGCATCACCAGCATGATTGCTTGCGAACACGAACAACCTATCGGAAATGCATAGATGTTGTTGTTTCCTGAAGCTACATTTTATCCAAGCAGCATCACCAGCATAATTGCTTATGTACATAAACAACTTAAACCGTAGGTTGGCAACCTACAGCCTATCACGAAAGCATAATTAGCAACATTGTCCGGGAACATAAAAAATGAACATCAACCATTGCAGCGGCAGGTTGAAAACCTTTTGGCTGTGCCGCGAGCTCTTCAATGGTTTTCCTTTGCATCATTGCATCATAGGTTCATTGTTTCATTCACATTCTGTTGCCATATATATTGTATTCGTGAGGCCTTCCTCAAGGTTTCCATTTTCATGTTCCTGGATATCATTCTACGATTTATCAAAGCAGCATCACCAGCATATTTGGTCTGGAACATGTATCGCTGGCGTACCCAAGCACTTCGGCCTCTGTGCACCCAAGCACTTGGTCCATTTTACATGTCGCTTCCACCTTCGGCCATGGTTGGTACCTCTTCGCCTATTGTATTTGAATGTGAGCAACAGCCCTGTTTCATCACCACTTGATCCACCTACGAAGTTTGGGGACACACAGTTTGACAGCACACGATCTGCAGCAGATGATATGCTGGACGGAAAGCAGCTGAGATGCTCGCTGAGAACGAGAGCAGCTTGATACAAACAAGCCTGTTGGGCCTGAGCATCAAGTTCATGTCCAGTCTCCACCAGTTTGACATCCATGGGTCCAGCACAGGTAATCATGTAAAGACAAACATGCCATCATCGAAACTGAAAACCTCTTGACAAATGCCATGGTCACCAAGCAAAACCATCCAAAAGCGCCACGTGCCGTCACCCAATCACCACGCGAACCACCACCCCGAACCGCGCTCTGCGTCGCTCCGCGTCGCTCCGCGTCGGTCCGCGGCACGGTGACGGCGTCGGTTGGCTTCGGCGCCGCACTCGCTCCGGAAGGTCCGGTTGGCGTCCGCGCGAAAGATCCGGGCACCCTCCTGAAACGGAGACACGAAGAACGGTGGAGGAACGAGACAGAGAACAGGGCGAGAGAGAGGAAGAGGACGAGGAAGAGGAAGAGAGAGAGAGAGAGGACACGGGAATGTCTCTGACGCGGAGAGATGAGAGAGATGTGTGTTGGATGAATCAAAAGTGCTGGGAGAACACGCTGGAGCATGGTGATGAGGAGTGGGATGTTCACCCTGATTTCCCTGCACCCCCGCGCTCCGATGAGAGCGGCTTGGTGTCAGCGTCCTTAGAGTGAGATCGGTGACGGGACATCTGGGTGACAGGGTAGGGAGAAGCAGAGTGCATCGAGTTCTTCATGCACTTCAACCCCAAAAAGCCTCTCGTAAAGCAGTCCATTCCAACCTCCAGCAGGTCCTCTAGTCAGTGTGAGCCATTGGGTTCAAGCTCTGATGCTACGGGAAAGGACAGTCTGATGATATCTACTGACTCCACCGACCATCCATATTCCCGCTCTGTCCCGGCACCAGAGTATAAGACTCTGTCTTCTTTTTCTGCAACAGCAAGACGATTCATGTTCTAAGAAACATCAAATGGCCTGTCAACAGTTCGACGATTCATGTTGGCTTTTCCCTCCATTCCTCGCTCCGTCTGTCGTCATGTATCATTAGGTGGTTTCGTTGATGATAGTCTCTGTTTCCGTTCTGTAAGGATGGGTCCAAACTGATCAAGGATAGTCTCTGTTTTGACTCAAAAGGGAGACCAAAGGAGTTCCGCATTTTGGGGGGGTGGATGGGGAAGCCATCACCCCTTCGCCATGGGGAGAAGCAGGATACGACTCTTAGGCCGGGACCACCCGACTTGGTTCAACGCCCACGTGCGGCAACCAGGCATTTGCTCTGGCAATGGCCTGCGCACAGCGTGCGCGAGCGCATCTGATTTCTCCGAGAAAAAAACACACACATTGAAAAACAATCATAGAGGTTGCCCTCCACCTTTGATAGCAGGTGGTTGGTGATTTGCAGTAGTAGGACAAGGGCACCGCAGTTGGTTGGGGAGCAGCAATCCAACCAACATGCACTACCCTGTGGCCTCATCCGTGTGGCTCGCCAGCCAGCCAAAATCGAACCTGAGGCGATGGCCGGAAAAGGGTCCGTGCAGTCGCCCTTCGCTTGACTCACATGATGTCAGGTCCACGCGAGACATGAGCTGAGCACCCCTTCCTCTTGCCCTCCGTACTGCGCGTTTCGTCTTTCATCAATGAGCGGATGTCACGTGATGTCACCGTGATGCCCGAGGATGCGCACTGGAGACATGACACCAGCACCGGACTGAGCCTTTCCAACCGAGTGTCTCACTTGAGGATGGGCGCATCGCCTGGAGAGAACCCGACATAGCAAGTTGTGTGAAGGGGTGAAGTTTCATGAAGTCCACACCGAAAAGGAAGAAGAACGTGTCTTGTTTTCTGTCTTGCATGAAGTCCACGAAAAGCACCAGGATCATCCGACTTCTCGGCTCACATATCTTTACCTTTGCTGAAGCTGCCTTCCTCTTGCCAAAAGCTGGGCTGAGATAGGAAGCCCGTGCAGCGAGACCTGGGAGATGGGGAAGCTGCGGACCGTGCGGAGCTGCGGAACGCGCCGAACAGCTCGCCGCAGCTCAGAAAGAAGTCTGCTTAAGAAGTGAAGTTTGTGAGGGGGAACGGGGAATTGAATGTTCATGATGTTTCATGTTCCAAAGAGTCCTCTCCTTAAGATCTATAGAAGTCCTCCGAATCCATGACTCATATCACATGTTCCTCTTCATTCGAACTTGGATGTCCAGGGGATGGCACTCCAAATCTTGGAGACTCGACGGGTGAACTGCGACTGGTGAACTGGGACCTTTTGAGTGTCTGGGACCCAAATCCTTCGGCAAACAGTCCAGGGACCTTCAGAAAAGAATCTTTGATTTAGGAACAAGAGTGGACCTACAAAAAAGCGCAGCTGCGACCCTTCTTGCAGAAGACTCTTGATTGCAGAAGACTCTTTGGAAGTTCAAGTTCCAAGGAAACACCATCCCCCCCAACTTGAAACTCCATCATTATTACATCTCTAAGACTGGCCTCCAACAACTGGGTGTCTCTAACAACTGCCCATTGCTTGGAGAGTCTCCCTATTCCAATACAACAAAGAATGACTAATAATACTATATAATTCATGACAATAAGGTTTAAACAACATAAACTATTAAACTGACATGTATACTACTGTAATGATATTTGTTCTACAAACAAATACAGTAAACCAATCGACTTCTCGTCAACATTGCGATCCAAGACATCTCCCTCCACGACAGGCCCCCCAGCGACATGCCGCGGGACGCGGCCGCCCGCGGGACGCGACGCGTTCCGGTTCGGGGGGAGAACACTCCGTTGGCTTGACCCGGTCCTGGCCGTGCATTCCAGGTTTTTCTAGAACTGAACTGTGAAAGGACAACTGAACTGCGAGGTCAGCCCATCACACGGCAAAACGCGTCATGGAAGATGTCTTTGAGGTATCTTTCTTTCTTTCAGTCCCCTCTCGTCCATGAAAATGGTGACACATGGAGCCAAACAGCTTAGGCCGAAACGCCAAGCTGCATGCAGAGCTCTGTGCAGATGACGGCGGAAACACGAGCAATGGACGAGAGAAAGACGAGGACACCGGATCTGAGTGATTGCGAGTGTGTAGTAGAATAGGGAGACCGCAGAGCCACTGGTCTTGGTCTATCCTTCTTTTTCCTAAGGTATTTTGGGTGGGTCTCCCTGTCTCAATGCAAACCCATGTTGCAATAACCGCCAATACAATCAAGATGTGCAGAACATTGGAAGATTTTGGAAGCCTTCGCTTTCTCGCAAACTACCCCTTCGAAGAGAATGAGAGCTAATGAGAACTAAAAATCCATACCAGGCTGCCGAGCGTTTTCTGGGATTGCCAAAAACATTTGGGGTCCAGGCTCGCATGGAAGCTGGGCTTCATCCTTTGGACTTGAAGAATCCCGTGGCATCGCCACCGAAAACGCCGTGGCATCGCCTCCAACCATCGGCCTTCGGCCTTCAAACTAGGCTGTTCAGGGCGCCAAAATCCACGCCTCTTGGGAGGACTCAGCTGTTCATGCGAAATAAAAGGATGCGAACCAAGACTTTTTGGGACAAATGAGTACAAATCAAAGCCTTTGCTACAACATACTACAACTCTGTATCTATGCAACTCCTCTGGCTAGCAAAGATTTCTTTGGCCATTGCTTGCATCAACAGCTATTTCTTGCTTCTAGCAAGATGAGTCTGCAAGTTGTTGGAAGGTGTCCGGAGATTGCTCCTCGCTCCTCCTCTCCTCCCACTGGAAAAATGGTCTCGATCCACCTATGGAAGCTGGCAGTTTCACTGGCCAGCCTCGCTCTGCTCGTCTGAAGATGACGCACAGACCGAACATCCATGTGGACGGATGTAGATTTTGCAGGGTGGGCCAGCTTTTGTCGGAAAGAAGAACGAATTGATAACATGGTGAGTTTGCAGATTCCCTTTTTTGCCATGAAAGCAGCAATGCGATTTACTGAACAAGCTTACTGCCCAACTCCATATAGTCCAAAGTCAAAAAGCTCTGACTCTAGAATTTCTACGGCTCTCCACCAGCTTTCAGCACAGCTGCATCGCTGCATCCATTTAAATTCGCCTCGGCCAGTCTCAGCTTCGGTTGGACCCATAGATCCCAGAATGACGCGACGTCGCTCACGGACGTCAGCCCGGACATGGACGACGCCGAACGACTCGGTCTCCTTGAACGACTCCGTCTTCGCTCAACTTCGTGTGGTAAAACCTCAGCGCCGGACGCCACGACCGCGACGGCCGACGCGGAGGGTCAGAGCCAGGCCACCGAAACGGTTCCGCGGCGACCTCGCGAAACCGGGGCCGGGGATGGACACGGAGGGATTCGCTTGAGGCCATGAGAGAGTCCCTCCTGGTGGTTTGAGAGGTCCTGCCCTGCTGAAGCATTTCGAACAGCCCCAGTTCTGAGGAGTGCACGTCATGCAGGTCCACGTCGAGGCCAGCGAGTTCGACGACTTGGTCCATGTGGCGTGGGTCCACATCCCAAAGTCCCCACGAAGTGGGAACAGGATCATGTCATTCCAAAGAACCAAAGAACAAAAGAAAGAACACGGAACCAAAGAAAAACACAGATTCTGCATGATCATTCGGACTGTTCTGCATCAGAAAAGCTTGACAGTCATCAGTCGTGGTCACGACATGTCGCTGCGCTTAGAGCCGGCTTCCAAGGTCTCAGGGTCGAACCGAGGTCATCGTCTCATTGTAAGTGGTCCGGAACACATCTGTGGTCTCCTGCTCACGAGGCCGAATGCATGGCCATGGCGATGGAGCAGGTGTCGATGTGTCGAAAGGGAACATTTCGTTAGACAAAAACAAACGAAGAACCCAACGCATACAAAACCGTTCAAAACAAAGCGAACACAGTGTCAGTGGATGAAAAGGTGCTCATGAAATCGAAGCAAACACACAACTATACATGAGAAACAAAAGGAACATAAAACAGTGGCTTATATAGAAGAAAACACCCACCTGTTACAGTAAAGAGAGAATCATGAAACAAATGCAAACATCTGGGATTCGTGTCTCCTTATGAGCCCAGTCAACACCTCGAATGGAAGCGGTGTTGGGACCTGAGACAACTCACAGTGTCGCAAACGAAAGGGACAAGAACCTTGTTGGAACGGAGAACCGAGTTTGACTTTAGAAAACAGAAATTAAACAGAGGGGATGGTGACATATCTCTATGATTATCTACGTATCATTATGTATCATACTCAATGAGGAGACTGTAAAAACTGGCCATTGGATGTCTTCCTTCGCTCCCTCTTCGCTCCCACGTCCTTCCGTCAACGAGAACGACCGAACCTCGAGCCAAAACGAGGTCCAACACGGTGTTCGTCCCTGCGACCCGGTCGACCCGGTCCCTGGGCACACCGGACAATAGCCAGTCCCATGGCCCCAGCCATGGACTGTGAGATCCCTGCGACGCGCCGACGCGACACGCGACCACCGCGGCGTCGACCCGACCCCGACGTGTCGGATCCCGCGACGTCGCTCGGGTCTCTGGGTGTTTCATGGTGTTTCATGGGTCCCGCGGAGGTGTTTGGATTGGGAACGACGTGATGCGCCTGAAGGATTGGGCTGGAGCTTTGATCGCAGCTTCCGTGTGCGTGGCGCGCGTGGAGGAAATCGTGTCCTGCGCCAGCTTCCGTGTGGTGTGGCGAAAGGAATTGAGGACGACCCACACCACAGCGAGAACAAAGGGAGGACCCAAAGCGCAACACATGGGCAGCACATGGGAGACAGCATTTGGAGGTGTGTAGGTCTGAATGAAAGTGCAAGCTGCTTATCTTACGATGAAGTCACAACCCTCAAAACATCAGCAGACTCGACTTCATGTCGCTGGCAATCTACTTCATGTCATGAGTCCGAAGAGATGGTGTCCAAAGACCTTGAAAACGAGTGCGGGCGGCGCAGAACAAGGGCAGAAAACATGGAAACGAACATCCTTCTGCTGGTAGCGCCCGGCAGAGTAGTGTGGCGGCCAATATTGACCCCTCAGTGCGGCAGGTTGAGAGCAAACAGCTGATTGTTCAGAGGGCTACAAACCCAGTGTCGCAAAATTGAAGAAAAGCACAAGCTTTGCCTCCATGTTCTTCAGGGCAAACATGCATCTGTTGGACATTGAAAGAAACATAACAAGTAATACATACATGCTAGACTTAAGACAAAATAAGACAAGTAAGCGCTGGGGCCCTTGCCCTGGGCAAATACCACCAAGCCGACCAGCAAGAGGTCTAGGCCTTGGGCCAATGAATCGACATGAATCGACATCGACCAAAGCACCACATCGACGAGCGAAAGGACTGGGGGCGATTCTCTTCATAATATGCAGTTGTAAAAGGAAGACTAACAAGTCGTCCACATGAACGTGTGTGTGAACCATAGTAAACATACAATGAAACAAATCAATGAAACTATATACCAATTCTACAAATGTCTGCATCCACCTGCGCACGGTTTCATAGAAAGCAAAAATGGCGCTCGAGTTCGAGTTCGCCGCCCTGTTCACCTCATTGCTCCCCCCCCAAAACGGGTTCCCCGGACGAGTTCCCCGGGCACGAGGCCAGGAAGTCTTGATCGTCCTTCGCGAGGCGATGGCTCCTGCGGTGAGGTCGGAGACGTCGTTCTGAGAGGCGGGATGAGGCGGAAGTAGAGGTTCGGGACGAAGGGAGCCCATGGAGATGGAAGAGACTGGAGGCTATTTATAGTAGAGAGGTCCAGGTCTATATAGGTCAATTAGACAAAGTGTCGTGATGAGCGATACTGTGATACCTGCACTGGCTACAACATCACGAAGCTTCCGCAAATCCATGATTTTCAACACGTGTGTCACAAGCAAGTCGAAGAAGGTCTGGATAATTGATCATTTCCATCATTCTTACCACATCCTTGGAGCTTGTTTTAAACAAACGTCTGAAACACATCTACAGATGTATCAAAACATCATGACATATCCATACATCTCCACTCATAGCAGCCATTTGAATCAGCAACGACGACAATCTGTTTTCTTCGGCCAAGAGGCGTGTTCATGCAGGCGCTTCGTCCCGCGGTCATAAATGCCTCATTCGGCGCCGTTCCGGCGTCGCGGCGTTCCGGTGGCGTCGAAGCACCCGGGGAGGTAGGTGTCATGTTGCATGATGTGAAGTGACACATCGTAGATGGTCGATGGTTGGGATCCCCAACCGGTAAGTAAGCCCCCAATTGCCTGGCTGGTGAAAGAAGAGAAAGAAGAGGAAAGAAGAGGAAAGAAGTGAGAAGACGTCAAGAATGATCTAACTAGACTATATATTCATGGATTCCCGCTCATGTGGTTTGGTCTTGGTATTCCAGGTTGTTTCCAAGTGATTGCCACCCTTCACACACGGAATGCTTGAACCATGGCAAAGAGCTGGCCCTCCGCCCTCTGTTTCGATGATCGACTTCAGAATTCGCTCCGTGCGAAAAGGTCAGACCTCCATGCGTCCATGGATGTCCATCCAAACGCGTCGTGGATCGGTCAAACAATCCGAATCCCCAACTCCCAGGGAGTTCAACACTCGCCGACAACGTCTCCTGGTCTCTGGCTCCGTCCCCTCCGAAAACCGCCTGGACAAAAACACCAAGGACGTCTCTGCGCATGGATCGCGGAAATGGTTTTTGTGTTGGTGTTCGGAACATTGGCACCGGTTTTCCTCAACGCCATCCCTCCTGGGCCGAGACATAACGCCTCTCTCTCTCGCGTCCAGACACCCAAAGCATCCACCCTTCCTGAGCCGCCCCGGCAGACCCCGGCATCGGCACCTGGGCCAACCCCTTGAGGGTTCACCTCGGCGGAGGAAAGGCCCGGCGACCGGGAAAGCGGTCGAAGAAAGCCGCGAGGCGACCAGCTGGGAACCTTTTTGCGATACGTTTTGATGTTTGGAAGGAAGGACAATGGTCAAGTTCGAGAAAACAACAATACATTGATTTGAAGGGGCAACGATGAGATGTCATGAGATGTCAATGACTAAAGGTGTGGTTCATTCAGAAACATGAAGGATGACTTCTATCCCACACTGGAGCCTCCATCTATCCTGCAACATTCTGAGACTGGTGTGCTTTCTTTCCACCCGATGTCAGTGCCTGAAGTTTCTTCTGCGACACAAGGCCTTCCACATGAGAAAATCATCCCAACGGAACACGAACGGCCGGAATCCTTGCGTGCAAGTCTATGTCTGAACACTTCCAACAAAGGAAACGAAAGCGGGATCGAGGTAGAAAATGCTCACCCCTGGGCACTCTTGAAGAAAGACCTGCAAACTGCTGTAAAAAGGAACATGCATACGGCATCCTGCAGAATGACCCCTGGACTCCAACTCCCATCTCCACCAATCCGACCAGCCGAAAAAGCCCGCCCGCTTAAGCCGAAGCGCCAAAGGCACTAACGTCACTCCCGGCTCGTTCGAGTGTTTGAGCTCCCCAAACGGCCACGGCGAAGCTGCGTTCCGCGCTCCCCAAGGCGTGCACTGCCAAACGGCCACGTCCACAGCTCCCCGTTAGTGTTCCTTCCCTTGAAAAAAAATAAATAAAGAAACACAATGAAGTGAATCTGCCTACTATAGTTACTAGTCGAGTGCTTCAAGCATCTGAAACCACCTGTTGTCACACGGCGTTTTTCGGCATGAACGCTGCGTCCGGCATGAACGGCGCGTCAAACGCTCCCATAGCTTCTCACATCCACCTCAAGGCCCGCGGTGTCGCGGTGTCGTGACGACGTCATTCAGTTCAAGTCTCAGAAAGTCTCTGTGACGACGCCTGAACGTCTATACTTCCGAAAATTAGCGTGCTATAGGCTATAGCGTGCTGCAGTTGTTTTTTAATAGCTAGGACATCAGCTATACTGCAGGACGGTTGAGTTCTTTGCTTTGGTGATGCTTGGACTCTCTAAAAACCGCTGCGCACAGTTTGGCCCCGCCTGGCAAAGCAAGTGCTCTGCCAAGGGGAAGCTAGTGCCATCGCACGGCCTCGATTGGTGGTAACCGCCAGTGGTTTCGTTCGGAAAGCGTTTCACTTGTCTTCATATGCAATGTTCACCTACTATCACCTGACCTATGCTATCACCTAGTGTCACTACAGGCTAGCGGCTTACTATGGTGTTAAGATGCTGTAAGCCTTCTTGCGGGGCCAGAGTTTCTCTGCATTTCAGTCAGCAACTGCTTCGGAGATGCATTCGATGCTCAGGCCTGCAAGTGCAAGGCACGGGCAAAAGCCACCTGATGCTCAGGTCGAACAAAGGCGCCAACCAGCGAGCCAACTCAAACCATGGAAAACCCTCCCAAATCATCCCAAATCCTATGGAAGAAACAGAGAAAACACACCTGTTGATAAAGGATGCAAATCTTCTGTGAATCCAGGTTGTCTGTCAATTAGGTTTTGGGTACCCCTGCAAGCTGAGATAAACTGCTTTGCTTCTCTTCAGTCTTCGTTTGGCCAAAATCCATTTGACCCAAACCCCGGCATCTGACCTGACGTTGCACATCTACTCATCTACCCCCTCCTTTTTGGACGGCCTGGAAGCTGAGAACAAGAGGGGCTGAATCCTACCGGAGGCTTTCATGCCTTGAACCCATAGGGCCTATAGGCTTCTAAAGTGGTTTAGGGGTGCGACCCCAAGTCGAAGAATCCCATGCAGAATCCAAACAGGTCTTAGAAGACACGGGTGCCAAATAGAGTTCCAACAATGGAAACGGGTGCCAATAGATCTCCTTCTTCGCCCCGGTCTATCGATTTGGCTCGCGCATGCTCCGAGGTGCCGGAGGCCGGGAGCCCCAAGGAGCTGCGTGAGGTTCTCCAAGGAGGACTGCAGCATGTACCTCCGATGCAACGCTCTCCGCAACGACCGCAACGACCGGCTCCGCGCGCCGACGACGGCGGAGCATGAGCTTTCGTTCCCTGCAGCGAAGCGAAGGTGGCGAGGCAGCCACCCTCAACGGCCCAGGTTGGCGTCGGGACACGAAAAAGAGGGACGACCAGGCTAGGTGAGGGGGCCTTGGTTCGGTTCCTGTTTTCCGGGGCCTTGTTCCAGCCAGGAAGCAGTGTTCCATCGGCAGTGCAGGAAGCCCTGCTTAGGTACGCAAGATCAAGCTGTGCACCAGATCCAAATAGTTCCAACTTATATAATCCTTGCGATTCCCTTTGTCCTCCAAGCACTTGGATCACAGGTCCACCTTCCCATCACACATACTTGCAAAAGTCTGGCAGACGGTCCAACCACTCGGTTGCTGGAGCACGGATTTTCGCCGGAGAAGAAATCCTCAATGGTGGTGACGTTCCTGTCGCCCATGCGCTGATTCCACCAAACATTCACACATGATCTTACCTGTGGAGTTTGGAATCCTGTTTTAATGAAATAGCAGGAAGGTCATCCATTGTGGCTGTTGAAAAGTGAAGACCTGTTACACAAGGGCTTTATGTCAAACATCTCGATCAAAACCTGTTGCATATGTTGGCCCCAAACAAAGCATGCCTTCGGTTGTCCAATCCAACGCGTTGTCCAATCAAGCTCCCTATCACCTCCCATCACCTCCCAGTCACCGGTGGATTGGCCGGTGGCGCCTCATGGCGGAGTAGAGCGACATCGCAAACAAACAGCCTGGCCGTGGGACCGGGAGAAAGCCCAAAGTGACCGGTCCGGCTGCAAGCGACCGGCGGAATTGTCGCTACCGCTTGGACCTGGGAACGCCCTTGCTGAAAGACGGTGAGGGAAACATATGACCGGCTCTACAACGGAGCAGAAATGGGTTCAACCGGGTGAATCTTCCAAAGCTTGGCAACGGATGTACTGACTGATGCACCGGCCTGTCAGCAGGAAGAAGATCACGATTGAGATCGTCGCCACCATGAGCAAGATACTGGACACGATCGTCGCTCACATTCCATGCTTGCTCCACACTCGCTGAGCATTTAGTGAGCGAAAAAAAAAAAAAATCCAGGCGCCTGCTGGTGCTAATGTCTGGAGTACTCATCACATCTAGGATGCCTTTCTGGGTCCTTGGTTGCAGAAGTCGCTGCGCTGGCGCTCTTCAAACAGCCAGCCCAGAAAAAACTCCGCAAGAACCAATACTGAGAACCCTGCATACCCAATAAGAAGCACAAACAGGAGCAGAAAGACCACCTCACAACACGTCCGTTGCGGTGCATGCGGGACGGGCGCAGCTGTTCTCAGTGCTCCACGAGACGCGTCACCTCACGAGGAAGTGTCACTAGGTATCGCACCAGTTCAACAGAAGGAAGTACTTGTGGTTTCGCCAACCAACACCTGGCAAGTGGCACTTGCGGCTTTTGCATCTCCCAAATTTGCAGAAACCGAGCTTCCAGCAAGATCCAATCCAAGGGCAATGGTGGTCCTTACAAGATGGATCATCCAATCCATACATTGCCGTATGAACAATTAGATGATTGTGGCAAGATGTTGAGAGACCAAAAAGCAATCTGGTGTTGATGGACCTAATCCGACCCAATCCAGTTCGGGTGTTGACTAGTGACTAGTGTTGACCCAAGACGTTGCTTCCTTGAGAATATGCCCATGGAACAGCCATCTCAGATGCTGACCATTCGCAAGACACAGCAGCCACAAGCTGTGCAATGATGCGCTCCTGAGCAGTTTGTCTGGCGACATAGTGTGGTCACATGTGTGGTCTCTATGTGTGATCTCTCCATCCATCCTGACCGGTCCCAACGCTCCCCGTCCCACTCTCCCACGGATGAACCACGGCCCAGGTGCTTTCCGGGCGTTCCGTGCGGCAGCTCCGACACCAACTGGGCTTCCCAGGAGACCAGGTCCTTCGAGTATCAGGCTGGCCCTCCTGGTTCGGCAGGCGCGCGATTTGCCCCGAGTCCTCAAAGCCTCTACATACAGTCTGACAAACCATGGGCCCACCCTTGTGGCTTTGCTATCGCCTTTCTGAGAGAGACATCGAGGTATTTCTCGGGTAGAGGGCCTGCCCATAGACACTTAGAGGGTCACCTGATCAGGGGATGAAAGCCGCCTTTGAACTGAAGTCCGAGTGATGAAATGATCACTCCGACATCCTCCACGACCCCCGGACAGGTGCTGTACCGGAGGCCTCCTTGTCTAGGCCGAGCAAAGCATGGCACACCATAAACTCCGCAAGCCCATCACACAAGGGTCTGGGGGTGAACATGGGGCAACCATATCCCAAAAGTTCTGAAAAGATCAAGAACTGGAAGGAATATGTCAAAGAAGAACAGAAGATGCATCCTCTGCATCCTCCAAGACATAAACTATGGGTCATCCTAAATAGGAAACCACAACCACAACTCCTGAGTACTATAGCTCTATAAATAGCTCTATAAGCTCTGCAAGAATCTCCGCACCCATGTTTCATCTGCACCCCTCACCCAAGAATCTCACGCTCCATGCGCCTGCGCCTCTTCGGCCTCTTTCTGCCATTGCTCCACGGAGCGTCCACCTCGGCGAACCTTGGCCCAGTCGCGCCACTCGGCGCTGTGGGGCGTGCCGGGGTCGGTGAGCGAGGTCTGCAGGTAGCTCCACAGCGCCAGAAGCCACGTGAGGTTGAAGAGCAAGGCCCACGAGATCGAGGGCTTCAGCAGCCAATGATAGGCCAGATTACCAGAGATGTAAAGGCTCAAGACGATGCAAACGGTAAACCATGAAACACACCGGGTGGCCAGATCTTCAGAGTGCATAGAGCGAAAGAGAACGTCGTTCTCGACTGGTTCGATATCTCATGAAACACTGCAGGGCAACCAGTCACAGTTGCCTCTGCATGGAGCGACCGGAGAACAAGGACGGCGTCAAGTGCAATTGGAGGACTGAGCCACAGCTACTAAATCCACGTACAGTTTCGTTTCAGCAAGAGTGAGATAGGATGAAATGTAATTTGCACATCTGTCTGTGAGTCTGAGTCAATCTCACTCTGTATATTGTACACCCTGTGTGCTTTTTCCTTATTGTGGGGCAGAGAGAAAAAGAAAGTCTGACTGACTTGCCGTGACTCGATGAGCACTCTTATCATCCCATGACATCGATCGATAACACATTCTTTCCTTTTTGCCGCCGCACGCGCACCGAACGCGCGATCCGAACCGCATCTTCCACCGCATCGGAACCGCGTTCGGCGCAGGCGCGGCTGAAGGAACGCGCGTCCACCGCGTTCCGGCCTCTCTCCAGGCATCTATCCGTCCAAATCCGAAGGTCCGCATCTCAGTCTCAGCTGGTCCAACGGAAGGAGCGTTTGGTCTTTCCAGCGGTTCCATCCTCAGCGCGCGTTCATCCAAGACAGCCTGCTGTGGTGGCCATGGTTTCCAACTCCAAGACGGCCTGCTTCCAGCAGGAAGCACGTGCTTTCTCGGGTGCCAAACAAGCCATGTCGTCATTCTCCACACGATGACCGGCCGCAGTGATCCTTTCGGTCCAAAGCGCAACGCCCAAACTTGGCGTCGGGTTCTGGCCATCTTTGGCACGTCGTGTTTGACATCCAGTGGCCATCGGGAGCTGGCCATCCTCGTCGGATTCGATGGAATCTTCGACTCAGAACCTCCGACTCTCGATCCTCAGAAAAAGACTCTACTCATCAAGCTTCAAATGAAAAACATGACTTGGCGAACCAACGTCCAAGTGGCGGGGACTTGCTCTTGTTGTGCCATTTGGCAGCCTACATTTTCTTGAGGCAAGGATACATTTATCTACCTAACCGTCAGAATGGTTTATTAATGTTTAGTGATGTTTCGTGTCTGGTTTACTGTCGACGATTCTGGCTTTGACATGCTACTGAACCTTGGTACGTGTTATCCAACACGACCAATACGACTTGCTTCGTTGCTTCGTTCGCCGCCCTTACTTCACGGCCGTCATCTCACTTGCCAAGCAGCCGCCCATCGGCGCAGCCGGGATGGCAGCCGCGCAATCGGAACATAAGCGGAGTGGATGATTTCCTGTGGATGTGGAAGTCAAAACTCAAGGACCTACTGTTACTATATGTTATAAATTGAAAAAATAGAAAAAAAAACAAAACAACAAGATCTGCAGGTACAGTATGGACACCTGTAGAGAGACCTGTAGAGAGACCTGTAGACACCTGTAGACACCCACACTCTTCCGATTAAAGTTGGTAGAACAGACCCACAGTGCCCGTGTGCCTTGCTGAAATTCGCTGAACTCGCAGAGAGTGTTGACCAGGTCCCGGAGATGCAGACAGCAGCGCCGGGAGCAGCGCACTGAGGTGGTTGATGGACCTGCTAGATATAGAGGACGGACTCAGGACGCAAGTTCATGAACAAACTATATCTTATAGATCTTCTCACCCTTCACCATCGATCGCCATCGCTTCACCTTTGATTAGTGTGTGGTGCTCCGCCATCTTAGCCCCCTTCAGAGTTCGATCGGTGAGTCACAGAGCCCGATGGCTGGGAGTGGCTGGGTGCGACATCCAACTCCTCAGCTTCCAACTCCTGAAAACCATGGGCCATGGTTCCAGCCCAAAAGAACAAAATGACCAGGACGACCAGAAGAACATATGATTATCATTAATTCTCGATGTGGTTCCCAAACGCAACAGCAACTGCAAGCGCTGTTAACGACAACAAGAAACCTTACGTAAGATTTGGAGAACACTTTTTCACCCTTCGACGGGCGCATGGTCACACGTTCCGCTGTTGTTCCACGTTCCGCTGCTCCTGATCCTCCATGTTGGCCGCGTTCACCGTCATCTCCTGCACCAGTTCCAGGCGCCGAACCAAAAGTGGGCCATAGGCCTCGAAGGGATCACGCCGAACAAAGACATGTCTCAGGAGAATGAAGACATTCATGCTTGGAGAAAAAGAACTGGTACATGGTCATCCATCAACCATAATCAACCAATTCCAGGCAATGATCAGCAGAAATCAAACTCGATAGTAGAAGACAAGCTAGAAGCATGGTCATCAATGAGTCGTCAATGGTTATCAATGAGTCATCAATGACTTAATGAGTTGTCAATGGTCAACGGTCTTCACTGGTCATCAGTTGAGACCAGTGCTTTGTTGCTGAGTCTTCATCAACAAGCTTTAGACCAAAAATGGTGCAGCATCCCCACATCTTCTGCCCGATAGAGAGAGAGAGAGAGTGAGAGAGTGAGAGAGTGAGAGAGTGAGTGAGTGAGTGAGTGAGTGAGTGAGTGAGCGAGCGAGTGAGTGAGGGAGTGAGTGAGCGAGCGAGTGAGGGAGTGAGGGAGTCAGTGAGGGTGAGAGTGAGAGTGAGAGTGAGAGTGAGAGTGAGAGTGAGAGTGAGCGAGTGAGCGAGTGAGAGTGAGAGTGAGAGGGAGTGAGTGAGTGAGGGAGTGAGTGAGTGAGTGAGTGAGGGAGTGAGCGAGTGAGTGAGGGAGTGAGCGAGTGAGGGAGTGAGTGAGCGAGTGAGGGAGTGAGTGAGTCAGAGAGAGGAGAGGCTCAAACCCTCCGACGGCGACGTGGCGACTGCAAAAAACCGCTGTTTGCGCATGGCAAGTTCCAGCACCCCAACCCACCCACGCGGTCGCTCCCATGCGGTCGCCCGTTACGGCACCCGGATGCTGTCGTTCAGCGCGTGCTCGGCCATGGCCGCGAAGACCCGGTCCTTGCCGCCCAGCGAATCTCATGGGAATGAATATAGATAGCTTCTTGATTCTTGATGCTTCTTGTTACTAGTAGTAAGGATGCTCCTAGTAGCGATGCCAGGA